AACAAAATCACAAGGAAATAGAATCACCAGCATCAGAAGTATCCAAATCAGACCTACAAAGTCTTCAGATAGTGCAATTATCAGACAGAAAATTATAAAGTATGTTTAAAGTGCTTAAAGAAATTTACAACTATGGAAAAAGAGATTTAAAAGTGATAGGAGGTGAAAGGCAAGCTGGCATTCCAGAGATGACACTTGAGCCCCAATATTTGACAAGTTGATGCAGATGACACATAGGCTGGGCCCATCCTTCTCCACTCTGCCAGTGTCCAGCCCTGGATGTGTGGGGCTGGGAGGGTCCAGCAGGCACCGGTCAGAGGGCTGCCAAGTGAGTGCTCTTGTGAAGGCTTCTCTGCCCCACTTCCTCAAACGTGCAAGAGGATATTCCAAGTGATACTAACCACCCGTGAAGCAAAAGGCCTCCAAGGAAGTGGGAGGCATGGATCAGGTTCCCCTTTACAGCCAGATCTAGAGTCACATTTGTAGTTGATGGCCTCCATGCTAGACGAAAGGGATCACCTTCTAGATACACTGAGGGAGACTGGAATGTTAACTTTTTTTTTTTCTTGTTCCCAAATCCCGCTTCAGAAAGCAAAAATGTTGACTTTTATCCAGGGAAAATTACATGAGGTTGGTCCTGAAAGTTATTTCTTACAGACAGTATGTACTGAAAAACTCCATGTATGTAGGGAACCACTCCTTGAAAGGGAAGAAGTAATAGCTGAACTATATGCAGAAAGAACACTATCTGGCTATGATTAGAATATTTGGAATCCATTGTCTCTAGGCACAGGAGATCTCTCAAGATAATAGTAAAGAGACAAGCACAGTGTCCAGCAGATGTATCTACTGAAGGTGAAATTCTTAAAGCACTAAATCATTATTTGAATACCACAAAGCTCTGGATGAAAAGCTAGTGATTGTTAAAGAACAGAAAAATGAGAAAAAAAATTAACAAATGGATGCTTGGTAGAAGCCATGAATAAGACAGTATACCAAACACAAATGGAAATCAATTTTCTGATTGTTGTCTAAGCCATGAGGAAGACCTTGCTATGGTAACAGAGTTTCAAGAATAGACAGGCAGTGCAGAGAGTGAAGCCAAATGAAGGAATGCCTGCCTGCCCCTTGACCCACATCATAGAACTGGGAGAAGACCCTGATACTGCCAGAAAGGAGCTTATCAATTCTGAAGAAACAAGCACAGAGTTGCAAAGAGATGTCCAAGAAACCACAACCCAAAAAGTAAGACATGAAAGAGGGAATCATTACTCTTGAAACACACTGCCTCACCAGAGTACGAAGCTGCCTCTGTGCATGACTTCAATGATAAACTTGAAGATGAAATTGCAGATAGATAATGTATGCATTATCTTTGATGCATTACAGCATCAAAAGACAGGATAAATGCTACAAACTAGAAAAATGTCTGAAATCTGAAACTGGATGAGCAAAAGCTGCAGCAGGCATCAAGGAACACAGAGATACACTCCCAGAGGCTGGGAGCACTTTCTAAGTCTGCAGAGAGATATGGTGGTTCTGGAAAAAGGTTACAACAGAAGGAGGCATAATTGGAAGAAAAAAGCCAGGAACTGCAGTGGGAATGCTCGAGGCTTCAACTTCATCTTAGAGAGAGAATGAAATAAAGCTAATTATCACTGTTTGAAAAGTATGTGTAAGTGTGTGTGTGTGTGTGTGTGTGTGTGTGTGTGTGTGTGTGTGGAGGGGGGGATAATGGCCACTCCAAAGAATAAGGATTCTCTACCACAGGAAACAGAAGATGCAAGACGGGGAAGGTAATGTGATAAGGATCAGCTCAAACTAAACATGGAGACACTGAGGGCTGAAACAGACCAGAGGAAGATAAGAAGTGATTCACTTCATCTGACCGGGAAGGTGCTCAGCAAGCTAGTGTCTTGGCAAATGGGGCACAAGCATCTGAGAGCGAAGCCTGTGTGGCATTCTCAATCCAGAACTGGAGTTCTAGCCACGGCAGTAAGGTAAGTAAAAGAAATGGAAGGTAAAGGATTAGAAAGAGTGAAAGAAAACTACCTTTTTCACAAACGCTTACAACATAAAAGAATTTAGCAAGATTACTGGTTGTTAGTGTATATATTGTTTAATTTACATCATAAGATATATATTTTAGTATACAAAATCAATATACTAAAGATAATTTCATTTCAATACACTAGTTACAAACAGTCCAAAAAGCACAAATACAGGCACACAGAACATCCTCCAGGTAAACAGTTTCTTGGTAGAACATAGTTTCACTTTTTTCAAATCTAGACTTACAGAGTATGTCTCTCTCTCGATATATTCTAAATACAATTGGTAGAACTTCAGAAATACATACGGTTCTGGCCACAGGATATGTAAAAAAATAAAATAAAGAAATACAGACAGATGTTTTGAAAAGCAAGTTGAGTGTCAACAAAGGGAATATTTAACTTGGGTATCACTGGCACCAAGAGAAACCATCTATTAATACATGTGGAGCAACTATTCACCAACAACCACATTAAGTGTTTGATAATCAGAAAGCTATGCTTTAAGCATTTTACAGACTAACATGATGATTTGTGACTTACATAAAGATGTTTTATTGTGTTTTAGTTTAATTTTAAGAAATTGGTTGAAAGTTTGGGGTTGATACACAATACATTATAATTTCATAGGAACTAGACTCAGTGATTTCCCTCAGAACATCTGTTTTAAAGAAACTTATAGAACTTTTTTTATAAGACATTAAAGGAGCTTTAAAAAATTGAAAGATATCTTGTTCACATATGAAGACTCAAAACCTCAATATATGTGTGTGTACACATGCACACATGCATGTGTGAGAATGCCAATAAGGTGATTCTAGAAATATATACTGAAGCATAAAAATCCAAGACAGGCTCAACACTCCTGCAGAGTAACAACATGTAGAGAGACTTGCCTTATCAGACATTATGACTTCTTATATAAAGCCATGGAAATGAATGAGGTGGTATTTGCCCAGGCACAGGAAAAAAGAACAACAGAATAGGGAGCTGAAAAATGGACTTACACCAAAATGGACAAGTGACATAACGGAACCGGCACAGTAGACAGGTGGAGAAAAATGGATTATTCAATAAATGGTAACGGGTGATTTTCCCAAATGGAACAAAACAAAAAAACTTACACAATTCACAGGAAACCATTCTAGGAAGATTAAAGTTTTAAACCTAATTCAAGCAGTGGTTATTGAGCACCATATTAAAGAGCTACTATAAAAGACATGACTTTGAAGTCATAGTATATTAAATGGACAAAATTGACCTTGGTTTTAAATCCTACTGGGAAAGCTACAGGCATGGGATTTATTGTTTTTATTACATTTTTACCTATAATCTGCAGAATACAAAATCGTTACCATGTGCTATTCAAATCAATGCTCATTTTATTTGTCAGCAAAAATTCAGTAACTGTCAGCTATAGGAACAGTGCTATCTCTATGTCAAAGTGGAGTAACTGTAAACTGAGAAATGGTTCCATATTAAAGAAGACTTGAATGATATCTAACTAAACATAGGGCATGATACTGGACTTGCCACGAGAGGGGGGGATCTGCCATAAGGGATGTGAACTGGACAACCAGTGGAATCTGAACATTAGACAATAGTACTATGTCAATGTTAGAAGTTCCTGATTTTGATTAATACTTATATAAGATAATATCCTTGGTTTTAGAAGATAAACACTGAAGTATTTAGGAGTAAAAGAGCCTGATGTCTTCAACTTAATTTCAAATGGGTCAGCACTAACGATGATGTTAATAATGCGTGTGTGTCTGTGTATGCATGTGTACAAATGTGGCAAAATGTCAACTGGAGAATCTAGGTAAAGGATATACAGGAGGTGTTTTTACTATTCTAGTAATTTCTCTGTAAATCTGAAATTATTCAGAAATAAAAATTTAAAACTTACATCTGTATTAACTTTCATGGCTTATTCTACAGAGTGGATATATAATAAATGGTAAAGGATTATCCTGAACAAAATAATAGAAATAGAAAAGCAAAGAAATTACAAAGATATTTCTAAATGAATTTCTATACTTACTTGAAATTGCCAGTTTCCCAAATGATCAACATCTTTAATATATACATGATAATGTCCTCCATAGCAGCCACCCTTGTGTATAATAACTGAGAAGAGGTCATATATATATTCTAAGTCATCCAATTCACTCTAAAAGAAAAAGGAACATAAACATTGATACAGTTTATGTAAAATGGTAAGATACGTAATCAAAGGGAAAAAAATTTCAACTATTGAAATTTTTTTCTAGACAGAGTCTCACTGTGTTGCCCAGGCTAGAGTGCCGTGGCATCAGTCTAGCTCACAGCAACCTCAAACTCCTGGGCTCAAGTGATCCTTCTGCCTCAGCCTCCCAGGTAGATGGGACTACAGGCATGTGCCACCATGCCCGGCTAATTTTTTCTATATATTGTTAGTTGTCTAGCCAATTTCTTTCTATTTTTAGTAGAGACGGGGTCTCGCTCTTGCTCAGGCTGGTCTCGAACTCCTGAACTCAAATAATCCACCCGCCTCAGCCTGCCAGAGAGCTAGGATTATAGGTGTGAGCCACCGCGCCTGGCCTCAACTATTGAAATTAATAAGAAACTTCACTGTTTATTCTGTTACTTAATGGTAAATAAAGATGAATTTAAATAACTGGCTTTAAATTTTAAAACTCTTAGTTCACTGATCTAATACCAATCATACTACACCAATCAAATACTGCCTCTTAGTTAAACATGAACACATGTACCGGAAAGAGATGTTATTTTTATGTACTTTGGCTAAGATCAGGTAAGACAATGAGACAATGAAACATCTTACCCCATCAGTGAGTCTGTTGTAGATATTTTTAGCAAGAGAAACCCATCTTTGTATCATACCTATTACACTGCTTTATACATGTGTTCTGTACCTATTTAAATTGTCCTATATTTCAACTATTGTGTGGCTCAAAGTCAAAGCCAGATCGACTATCACCCCTCATGACACTTCAGTCCTCTACATAGAACAGGAACTTAGCAATTATGAATACCAGCTGGTCTTTTTAGAGGCAGTTTAGTGGAATGAAGAGATTCTTTCTTGCTTTACTAATTCTATGATCATCCTTTTCTATAATTATTATGTTCTATAATCATGAGTGACTCAACTGATGAGCTTCTCCACCAGTAATTAAAAACAACAAAAAAAATTACTTTAGATTAAGAGATACTTTAAAGCTGTTTATTTAAATTTCCTAGCCAGATATGGTGGTGCACACCTGTAATGCCAGCTACTTGGGAAGCTGAGGCGGAAGAGCGCTTGAACCCAGGAGTCCAAGGTTGCAGTGAGCTATGATTGCACCACTGCATTTCAGCCCGGGCAACAGAGTAAGACCCTATCTTAAAAAAAAAAAAAAAGTTTATTTAAATTCCCAATGCAGAAGAAAAAACAATCCTTAATTTTCATATTTGAGGAGTCTGAACTACATGGTATAAGCTCCCTTCCAGTTTTGATGTCTAAACTCAGTGTTCATCTGTGATGTTAAAATGTACATATGGGTGCCAGTTATTTGAAGAATTTATTTGCTTAAAATATTATACTTCTTGAGGTAACACAAGATCGGAAGAATGGGCTCCACTTGTACTCACCATCAAATTGGTACTAACTGTTGAACACTAGGGTGCTCACATGGCAGTGATACTCTCCAGGGATTAGGGGGATGGGC